AAGGGGAAGGGGAAGGGGAAGGGGAAGGGAACATTTGGGGATGCTCCAGGAGGTCTCCAGCACCAGACGTCTCCTCATTGCCTCTACTGCCACCTCCATGCTCCTGTGGCTCCCTGTCCTCTCCCCATATTCCCATCCTTCCCCTGTCTCCCCCTCCTTGTCCCACCCCTTCCTTTTTCATTCCCTTTTTAGTGAACCGGGCTCTTTCCTCGCCCTCCTGGAGCCAGGTTGGTCCATCCCCACCTCTGGCTCACGGAGGACACGTGTGCTCCAACACCTCATGCTGGGGTTGGGGTTTTCCTGCCGAAAAGAGGCGACCTGGGGCCTCAGCAACGGGTGTTTCATCTGCACAGGGGTTGCCATCAGCCAAGACACACATCGAGGAAGAAGACACGTCCTCCTGCTCCTGTCTTCACCAATAAAGCAACACCCGTGGCTGAGATTTGGAAAACAAGAGGAAAAGCGAGAATCCCACGCAGCTTTCATCTGCGCCCAGGAGAAATCCGTCACCCTGAGGCTCTGCTAAATGTCTTTCTGAGAAGCAGGCAGCTAGAAAACATCGCACAGCCTTTTCAGGGCGGTTCATTCGTTTGTCTTTATTAACTTTCTTCCCTCAGCACAGAAGAAATGGAAAAAAGGGAACATACGGAGAACGAGCAGGGGCCGTTTACATTCAGAACGTGCCTCTGAAAAATTCATTCCCGCTTCCCAAAACACGCCAGGCAGGTACAGATTGGTTCCACTTTTATGAAAACCTTTTGCCCTTCTAAACTGCAGTAAGACAGAAAAACAGCAAAAAACGACAGGGGACACAATTGCCTTAAGGTCCCAGACGGCAACCGCTTGTAACTCGCTTAAATGAAAGCGTTTCTTTTCAAATAAAAGTGCCGTAACAAGACGTGTTTCACGGAGACCGAAGCTGTACGAGCACAGGCTGCGAGAAGGACACATCTTACTCACAGGAAACGGGGAGAAACTGCCCCAAAATTGCTGCCATCCGAAGGCCCTGACGCAAGTTTTTGGTGAGATGCCTCTTCCAGAAGTTATGGGCGAGGTGCAAGAGCCGCTGGGAGCAGCACGTGGAGTACCACGGTTGGATTTGGATCAGGGTAGTAGGTTCACTCCAGGCTTGGTGAGGATAAACAGTCTTGGAAGGCGTTTACAATTGTAATTTAATTTGTTCTTTGTTTGTAAAGGCGTTTACTCTTTGCCTTGTGGCAGCACCCTCAGAGTCTCCTACTGTGTGGTGGGTGCCGTACAAAGAGAGGACAGCCCTGCTCCTTAGACTGCAAGGGTAAACCAAGATCACAGAATCCCAGAATCCCAGACTGTTAGGGATTGGAAGGGACCTCCAAAGCTCATCCAGTCCAATCCCCTGCCGGAGCAGGAACACCCAGATGAGGTTACACAGGAAGGCGTCCAGGCGGGTTTTGAATGTCTGCAGAGAAGGAGACTCCACAACCTCTCTGGGCAGCCTGGGCCAGGGCTCTGTCACCCTCACTGAGAAGAAGTTTCTTCTCCAATTGAAGTGGAACCTCCTGTGTTCCAGTTTGTGTCCGTTACCCCTTGTCCTATCATTGTTTGTCACCGAGAAGAGCCTGGCTCCATCCTCGTGACACTCACCCTTGAAATATTTATAACCATGAATGAGGTCTCCCCTCAGTCTCCTCTTCTGCAAACTAAAGAGCCCCAGCTCCCTCAGCCGCTCCTCAGAAGGGAGATGCTCCACTCCCTCCATCATCTTTGTAGCCCTACACTGGACTCTCTCCAGCAGTTCCTGTCCTCCTTGAACTGAGGGGCCCAGAACTGGACACAATATTCCAGATGCGGTCTCACCAGGGCAGAGCAGAGGGGGAATCTGAGGATACAGGAGACGGCGGCTGAGCGCCGGTCACTGGGCAGTTCTGTCGCTGTTTATGTGAATTAAATTCAGGATCCTCCTCTGTATCTCTTTGGTCCTCACCCCGTAGATGATGGGGTTGAGCACAGCGGGCACCAGGATGTAGATGTTGCCCATGACGATATGGACCAGTGGGGC